AAATAAGAGTTTAATATTATTTTTTTTCTAAAGACAATTTATAAAATTAAGAAATATGGATTTTTTTTATATGTACTAAGTTATTTTCTTACTTTGTGCTTTAAAAATGGTTTAATTGTTTTTTTTTTTCTTTCTTGCGTTAAAATTTTGTGGACCTGCATTTTTCAACTGCAAATTTTATTTTATCTCATATTAGAAAAAGGAAAAATTTTACATTCGTAGTTCGGACGCAGCTTGCATGCGAACTTCCAACAATATGTTGTCATGTGGAGGTTATTGTGGTGTTATTGAAGTGAAACCACAGATGCTAATAACGGGTTATTGCGGGGGTTATTGCGGGGACTATTATTGTGGAACCACGAAAGTTATTGGATGGTTATTGCGGGGCTTATGACTGAGGGTTATTAATGCGGAACCTCTGGTTATTTATTGTGGAACCACGAAAGTTATTGGATGGTTATTGTGGGGCTTATGACCGAGGGTTATTAATGCGGAACCTCTGGTTATTTGAGGGTTATTGCAAGAGTTATTACAGGGGGTTATTGTGGGGGTTATTGAAGGAAGTTGTTGGAGTTAAACAGCGGAGATTATTGAGGGGTTTTTGCGGCGTTATTAGAGTTAACACTCCAATAACCCTTCCAATAACATCTACGGTTTCACTCCAATTACCTCTGTGGTTCCACTTTAATATTTTTTTTGGTGAGCCCAATTTCGCACACATTGAAGCATATTACTATAGTCTGCGCGCAGAGCTGTGTCCGAACTTCACATTTAAAATTTTCCCTTAGAAAAAAATATTAAATAATTTCTTTTAAAATGTATTAATTTTATCTTTGTACATCCAAATATCAATCTTTTTTTACAACCTATTGTTTTCCTACCAATATTATTTCTTTTTGGATGATTACATACAAATCACCCTAAACATTGATATTTACAAATTAACCGCCCGGGTGATTATTTTGAACTACTAAATTGTTTAAACTACTGAGAATTTGATGAAAATGAAAAATATGGGTCGGAGTTTTGCCATGAATTTTGATATTTGAGAGGGAATTTGATTTGAAAAATAGATGAAAGAGAGTGGTTGATTTGTAAATAAGAAGTTTCGGGCGGTATGTCTGCATCTGTATGTTATGTGGCTTGAATCTAATCTTAAGCAAATAACGTTCTCTTCTTACCGCTTAATAAAAAATTCTTACTAAAAAAAAAAAATAATCAATTTTCACTAAAAATTAAACAAATGTCTAAACTCCTTTCAATTTACAAAATGAGCCTTTCCGGGAAATGATTAAAAACATGAAACGATAGATTTAACTTAAAATATGACTACCTTCTAGATGGATGATCCATTTGTGGAGTTTAGACCTATAAAAGACAAGTCAAATCACATTTTAAATTAGGAAGTTTTGCGTACATAGTGTTGAATCTGACATCGTCCGAAAAACATGCTTAAAGAATGAAACGTTCTATTGGGAGGCAATTAAGAGAGAGTGGAACGTTCTATTGGGAGGCAATTAAGAGAGAGAGCGAGTGTGTGTGTGTGTGTTAATGAGTGAAGGAGCAGTGTGTGTGTGTGTGTGTGTGTGAGTGAGTGAGTGAAGGAGCGCTAGCAAGCAGATAAACAAAAGGAATCATTTATTTATAGCCCTACATCTCAATATTACAAAAGTGCATATTGAGCCCCTAATCGTTAACCTTCATGGGGCATTTTGGTAATTTACAAGGTTATTTGCATATAACAAAGCTCAAGTCCTATTTGATTGATAAAGGTCGCCTAGATCACAATATTACAAGAATACATATTGGTATCCTAATCAGTAACCTTTCAAGGAGACTTTTTTGGTAATTTACAATGTTATTTGCATATAGTAAAGTCCGGGACCTATTCGATTGATAAGGGTTGTCGATCGTCTGACAGGACTTGGTTCGATCGATTTATGGTCCGAAAGAGTGCTCCCCGTTGACCTTTTTGAAGGTTGATGACCGTCACGAAAGAGTTCTTGTTATCTTCTGTCGATTGTTCGAGCAAGGTATTTTTTCCATTGCTGCTCATTTCAAGCGATCATCAATTACTATATTCAATCGATCGTACTTTTTTCCTAAGTCGCCCATTTACTTTAAGATTCATGAGAACATATTTCTATGAGTTCTCGGGTTGTTTTTGTGCCTCAGTCAGCATCGATCGGTTCCTCTTCTCCACATAGGCATATTCGGTGTTGTCCTAGTACAGTCCGTCGTCGAGATTTTCTACGGGTGGATTCCCCTCCCTCCATTATTGGTCGGCGGTTCTCCTTAAGGAGGGTTATGTGTTTACTTGTCGTGCTAGCTCTCCAACTAAAACTGGTGAAAGGGGTGCTAGAGCAGTGACCGCCCTAAGGAACTCGGCAAACTATCTGGGTTCTTAAGCCTTGCATCCCTTGCTTAATAAAATCTTTCATAAACTCTCGGATACAAGCTACTTCACCTTTGTTCCTCTGACTAGACTCATCTTGATGTTGTTGTTGGGTTTCTCTTCGTGTTGAAGGCATATTTCTATGCTCACTGCACCTTAAAGAATGTTGAATCTGAGATCGTCCAGGAAACACGCCCAAGGAATGGAGCGTTCTAGTAGGAGACAATTAAGAGAGAGAGAGGGAATGAGTAATAGTAAACAAGCAAAATGTATCATTTATTCATATATGAACCCCTATTTATAAGCCTAGGTCTCAATATTACAAAAGTACATATTAGTCTTATAATCATTAACCTTCAAGGAGTTTTTTTTTTTTGGTAATTTATAAGGTTATTTGCATATAATAAAGCCTGAGATCTGTTTGATTAATAAGGCTCGTTGATCGTCAGACAAGTCTTGGTTCGATCAATTTATGCTCTGAATGAGTGCTCTCATCTCTCGTTTTGAAGGTTGATAACCCTCTTGAGGGACTACCTTTTGTTATCTTCTATCAATCGTTTGGGTGAAGGATTTTCTACGTTGTTGCCCATCTTAAATGATCGTTTATTGCTACGTCAAATCAGTCGTTACTTCCTTCCTAGGTTGCTCATATGCTTTGAGATTCGCCCATACATATTTTTATGTGTATACAATGTGATTCTTATTTATTTTAAAAGTTCACATTTAATTTTTATTTATGTTTTTTTCTATATAATCATATTAAAAATATAAATATTTTCAAGTGAAATATCATATAATTCACTTAAATACCACATATTTTTTATGTATTTACAAATCTTACATCTAAAATTTGATATTTATGTTTATAGCACAGTGTCTTAAACCTAGGCATGCACTTCTAAAAAATAGCAATGGTGTTTTATACAAATATGGTTATATATAATTTTTTTTTAATAAATTTTCTGAATCTAACTGATATGCCGAAATAGTTGTATCCATTCTTCTCGAAAGGACAGTCTAGCTCATTTGTCCGAGGTGAGCTATAAGAAAAGACCATCATGACTAGTAAGGATAATTGTCTATCTATCATTAAAAGCTTTGCCTGATGTTTACAATTCAGTCGTTTCATCAAGAGAACAGAGATGAGAGTCATACTAGCCCGTTTGATACCCACATCACATTCTCTTCATCAAGACACTAGATAATGAACAGTACTAAATGTGTCTCATTTATTATTGTATTAGTTTTCCCCCTTGTGTGTAAAAGGAAAGTCAAAAGGAGATCAAGAGATCATTTTCTTCCAGTGAATTTTCTAACGCTCCCTCTTTAAAATCTTATAACTCAGGAAACCTCTGACAAGCTCATCTTTTCCGACTCACCAGAGATAATAACTCCATATATTCTCTAAGATTATCTCTCTCTCATTTTCTATTTGTGATACAAGGTTTTTATCGGATTGTATGAAATCACAAATAATACGAGACCCTACTTCTCAAAAAAAAAATTCAACAATGATATTTTTGATGTAATGGTAAGAATTTGAGTGTTACACATGTAAATATGAATCTTCAGATAATAGATAATGTAAATACATAATAACGGTATGGTATATATGAAAAACATCTTTGACTCCCATCGCTCTGCTCCACTAAGCTCCTTACCCGTCCACAGGTACCGCCGACCAAACTCAGTCTCATCGTTAGATCTGTTTCGTTCATCGCTTTCATCGATCGATCAACCTTCCTCGATTCAGTTGACTTCTTCCTTTTCTTCTTCTTCCCTACCGACTTCAGTTAATCCCATGCATATACAGAGGAGCTCATTGCACAACAATGGGAACGCCCTTCTTCCATGAGTTCAAGAAGCAGGCTTCATTCTTCCTCAGAGAAAAGATCAAGCATGCTCGCCTGGCTCTCACAGATGTCACTCCTGTGGAGCTGTGAGTTTCCTTTTTCTATCCTAGTTTTCTTCTGAATCTTCTAATTTGTGATGATGATTCTCATAGGCTGACTGAGGACGCCACCAGTGGGAATCCATGGGCGCCGGATGCGAAGACGATGAGCTTCATATCAAGAGCTGCTTTTGAGATTGATGATTTCTGGAGAATCGTTCAGATTCTGCACAAAAGGTGTTTTTTTTTTTAATGAAATTTTGGATTTTTATGCAGATTCAGCTTTAGATCTGTCTTTAAGTTAAGAGTTTGTTAATGTTTGTATTGTTTAGAATTGAATTTGACCTAGAATCAATCACCCTTGCTCTTCAATCTGAAAGGCTTCTGTTTTTTTTTTTGTTTTTTTACGGATTAGGCTCGCAAAGTTTGATAGAAAGTACTGGAGAGAGCCCTACAACGCACTGGTGCTTCTTGAGCATCTTCTAACTCATGGGCCGGAGAGTGTTGCAGATGAGTTCCTGTGTGATAAAGATGTCATAAATCAATTGGGCAATTTGCAGCATATCGATGAGAGAGGGTGAGGAACATAAAAATTGTGCTTTTTATTTTTCTAATGTTTTTTTCTTAGAATTGGAAGATTAAGAGGTATTTTCGTAGGTTTAATTGGGGGTTTGCTGTGAGGAAGAAATCAGAGAGGGTGTTGAAGCTGCTTGAGAAGGGGCAGGTGCTGAAGGAAGAGAGAGATCGAGCTCGAAAGGTTACAAGAGGGATTCAAGGCTTTGGAAGCTTGAATCAGAGATGGTCCTCGCAGGCCGCCATGGATGGAGTTGAGCAATCTTCTGATTATTTTGGGAGGTGGAATTCACATTATGAAGGATACAGCCAGCAGGATGATGAAGATCAACATAGTTCTAATTCTGATTCTGAAACTGCTGATTTGAAGATGATGATGAAGAAGAAGAAAGTTTTAGCAGGTGAAGGATCCATTAATGGTGAAATTGCTGCTAAAGGCAATGAAACTGCAGGCGGAGAAAAGGCGAGTATTCCTACCGAAGAATCGAAGGTGAAGTTGGAGTTACAGAATGAAGAGCATCCATTTGATTTCCATGAGCTTCAGAGAAAGGAATCAATGCTTCTTCTGAGGCAATTTTGAGAAAAAAAATGGCTTTTTTATATCCGAAACTTCTAAGGAGGTTGCTCCACTGACTCAGTGTGCAGCCAACTAAGACCACAAACCAATGGAAAATGGTCTGTTAGAGTTTTCTGTTGCAGAATACGAAAAACTATTGCGTGCGGACGGAATAAGTGCAGATTTACTGTCACAATATCACCACTATACCACCAATCAGCATACGAGAATTCTGCATGTAATATTCACTGCAGAATACACCTAAGCTTTTGTTCTTCTTTTCCTGTTTGTTTCTGGTTCTGCTTTATAATGTTGATAGGAAGTGAATTATAACAATGTTGCTGATAAATTTTATATAAAAGTTTGAATTTTTCAGTAGTCTGTGTGGTTATCTGTACTGCTTGATATTATCGTTTTGAAGCTAACCTCGTAGAAAGATATTTTTGTCATGTAGGATCCAAATTTTTCTGCATTTATGAATTAGGAAAACAGAGATTGGATTTACAAATGGATCCATTAGAGCTTCAGGCAGCCATAGATCTAAATTTTCACATTTAGCAGGGATGCAAATAACATGGTGCTGTCTAATGTCCTAAATGCAATTCATCTTGGTATTACAGGAAGCACCATTTGTGCTGAGATTGGATTATATCTTTAAGTGTGGTGGAGTATTTTCGTATTCTGTAAAGCAGCTAAGTAACAAATGAATATGTTATATTGCTTTTTTCAAGGATTTAGTTGTCAACCCAATGCTCTCTCTCTCTCTCAAATTCTTAGATATTTTTGTAAGTTATTTATATTATATATTTTATAATATTGAGTAGAGATTGTTTATTCCTCTTTTATTTTTCTGTTAGCTATTGAGTAGAGATTGTTTATTCCTCTTTTATTTTTATGTTAGCCTTGTGCGCTTCAGAACTCTGAAAGAGCTTCTGATAGAATTGAAGCACTGAAAATTTTGTTTTTTCTTCCTCCCTGCTTATCTCGTTATTGTGTGAATTGAATTGAATCTCTTTTCTTCTGCGTCGCAGCCTTCCCATTTTGTATTTCACAAATCTTCCAAGAACTAAATGAAAATATGACACTAAATAGGACGCAATGGAGAAAAATGATTCATGTAGCCGACCCCACGTAGTGGGATTAAGGCTTTGTTGTTGTTGTCTTGTGCGCTTCAGAACTCTGAAAGAGCTTCTGATAGAATTGAAGCACTAAAAATTTTGTTTTTTCTTCCTCCCTGCTTATCTCGTTATTGTGTGAATTGAATTGAATCTCTTTTCTTCTGCGTCGCAGCCTTCCCATTTTGTATTTCACAAATCTTCCATTTTTTTCCCGTTACCATCCAGATTTGGCTCCCACCCTCTCCTTGACTGCATTTCCGATTTGTCGATTGTCATCACACCATCTTTATTATTATTATTCTTATTATTATGTTTTTTTATGAAGGTTTATTTATTAATATTATGTTCTATTTTATTTGAATGACTTGAATTGATTCATTAAAGTTTCAAATATTTTGTGATTCATTTAAATGAATTTTATTTTGAGGTTTTGAGAATTATTAAAAAATTTTGTAAAGTGAATGTGCTAGTCACATGTTGGGTTTCAACCTAAACGTACGTCCTACATCCTCTACCCAAGGGTTTCCTTTTCACATGTCAGGAAT